CACACACTTAAAGGCTAATATGGAAGCATTCAAATATGTTCCACTGTAGCCTAACAACAACATGAGGACTGAGTTGTGTCAGGTTTTTCAGTTTGATCTAAACAATTGAAGGGAATATTCATATCCCTATTAAAAATGGCAGCTTTGTATTTCTACATTCGCCATCACCCAATCAACTATTTCAAAAGTTCTGCTACCTTTAAAACTTTGTAATGTGCGGTGGTATAGGTTTCAGGCTATTTATAAAATGTTATCATTCCCAGTCAATAAAATTTGATATGATTATGTCAAGAAGGAAGAATGTGATTTTAAAAACTCCTGTGATGGATGACTGTTACCTCTAATATACCTTTAAACCTGAAGGTAAGGGAAGAGTCCTTGAAATCTTTTAGATATTACTAATCTACAGCTCTCAACAGCTATAGCTAACTTTGTTAACAATGAAAGATGCTAATAACTGTAAGCACAGCGACATTTGGGAGTCTCGCTTCTTGTTGCATTGAAATTAGTCACTGCATAATGGATATCTCTGGATTTAGATGATATTGAGAAGATTATGATTATTTTCCAAGTTCATGTACAAATATTCCAAAACGTCATCGTTGAAGTTTGTGATATACCATGAATTTTATCAGCACACAAATCTGACATACAGTATTTAAAAATTCCAATATTTATGCAGGAAAAAAATGAAATAGCTATGGAGTAACATACATAGTCCAAGGAATATAATGTTCCAGGGAAATCAAATGCTGCACATCTTTCTTCTGATGCATTTCTGTTTCAGATTTCAGAAAACTGTTGGCATATCTCAAATATTTTTTGAGAACTAGATCTCTACAGCTGGTTTGTGAGGGGAGTATATGCAGTAATTTCCAGCTTATTTAACATCTCCCATTGTTGAAGAGCTCTAGCATGTGGGCAGGCAGTGAGATCAATCAGTTGGATAAATCTAAAATTAAGACCACTCATTTAGTCACCACCATTTTACAAGACATATTGAACCGGAATGGGGTGTCTGGGCAGACCCATACAATTCCTTGGACAGTTAAGTCAATCATGTTTGCTTGTTACTGCATTGATCAAGTTGTGGACTGAAAAACAAAGGTTTTAAAGGGAACTTGTTTGACTTTTTCATCTGATGCCAAGCTTACCAATGCAGGTTTTGAACGTTTCCACATAAAGCCTGGATTCGCACAACATATTAGGCTGTTTATTTTAACTGTAAACCACAACTTTAGGGTTTTATATATAAAACTAATCCATAAACATTAGCAAAACTGGAAATTTTTAGCTATCCAGGGGGTCTTCTTCCCAAAGAATTGTATGCCTAGATAAAATCAAAACTAACATTTTGGTTTGATTGTTTGTGAGGCCAGCTAGGGATGTGACTTTTTGATATGCTGGGAAAGGTTTAAAAAGAATGCATGTATAGTAGTGAAATCATATAAAATTAGTTTAAAGCTGCAATTCTATGTACAACTGCTTAGCAATAAGCCTAGCTGGAATACATTTAAATATGAATAAAGTACATCACAACATCAGCAGATCTTAAAACTGCTTTTGTTATTATTCAAATCAGATGCAGGTTGATTGGGTAGCAATACTTTGTTGTTTTCAACTGTAAAAGTAACAGACTCTGGTACAGGTTATTCACATTAACATTTTCTGGCCTTCTAATTCTGGGCTACTCCCAACAGCTTTGCATGAGCACTTCCTAGGCAACTTTAATCTGGGGAATCAATTCTGCAAATGATACAATTCAATGGGCAAGAATTAGAAGCCAAGATGGATGCTAGTGAGTTATGCATGAAACTTGGAAGAAGCTGAAGCTCACTTACTTTTGCAGCTCTAATATTGTCATGAAAGTTTTTTTTAATGAGATTAATTACATATTAGTGGATTGGCTCCCACCTGTAATGGTACTGATAATACACATGCTAATCAAACTTTTGGTGAGTCAACAACTACTTTACTCTTGCTTTGAGAATTTCAGCCTATGCTCTGTGTAATTTTTTTATATAATTCTACAACATTCTATGTTCAAATGCCAAAACTCAACATTTTTCATTAGAGAGCTGTTGTTTGGTAGGTAAAAATATATCACTCTATACATGCCTACTTCAATATTACTTCATATTTGCAGAGACCCCCTGGATAGCTAAAAATTTCCAGTTTTGCTAATGTAAGAAATCAGTTGCACTGCTTAATAGCACTTATGTTTCTTCCTTGGAAAATTGCCCACATAAGTTAAACATTTTGTGTAAGTGCACGAATGATAGAATCAAGAATTGAATACCTGCTATAATGTTCCATTTCTTAAGTGTAGCTATTTTCTACCTTTCTCAAATGCAGATCCTTGAAACTATTAGCAGTTCTTAATAATTGCAAAGTAGTTTAATTTTTGAAGGGCAAAATAGACCACCAATGCTACACTACAATTAAGGTGGGACTGAAATCACAGAGTCCTTTCCACCATAAATTCATTCCAAGTACGATCACGAGAGTCGTTTCGTTATATTAATCATCTTTGTGTTAACGTCCATTAATGGTAACATTATATTATCTTGTCCTAAAGTGTCGATGGTGATCGGAAATAATATTTAGGTAAACCGAGGACTAGATTAAAGGTCCGAGGGAAGTCCTAAATAAACTACAGTAGATAGAACATAAAATTACCGGGTCGAAAACATTCTAACATTAATTATATTTCCCATTAAAATATTGGGAAAGGCTTCTATTTGAACTATAGCTATTTGGTAAATGAGAAAATGTCACCTTATCTACTTTGATTCCATTTCTTTCTGTTAGCTTTGTCATCTTTTTTTCTTGCTACGTATTAGATTATTGATGTGCTGAACTCATAGATATAACCATATCTCTTTCAGGGAAGATATACAATTTATCATTTGGGGGAGAGGGGAAAAACAACAGCCTCTCTTTCATCTTTCTATATACTATTTATATATTTCTCTGGTTTTCATTACTATCATAAATATTAAAACTGCAGTCTTGTTCTTAAATAGAAATATGCTACACTGGACACAACAGGATTTGCTTCTGAGATTTATTCTACAATATCTACTCTTCTTTTCATTTAGTGAGTTTGCTGCTTGTATAAGCAAGGATGAATATATAGCCTGCTGTTGAAGGAAAAGTATTCACCATGGTTCAGTCCAAGCTGGGAATAAACAACATGGCGACTGCTTTAGAAAGAAGGTTGCAGTTTATTGAAGAGGAGAGCCAGACAGAAAGATGGCTCTGGAAGAAAAGAGAGAGAGCACATGAAGGGAGTGGGTTTTTATACTCTCTGGAGCCTTTTGTTTGGAGTTGTTCCTGTGGCATGAACTTTGACCTGAGTCTTGAGTGTGCCCTTTGGCATCTGTGGATTAATCCTATTATGTCCTGTCTTAGAGTTTGGGTGGGGTATGTAGATTTTAGGTGTCTTTGTCTTCCTAAGCTTCTAGCTGGGGGCCTCCAACCTTCCTGGATTATTTACATCTGCATTTCTACAGAGCTGGTTTCTGCTTGGGGGAGGGAGACTTGGGCCTATTAAGAAAACTGGGCATGCTTTTCTGCCTCTTTTAAGATTCTTTGAGGAAATATATTATTATCCCTTTTAATATTTCCTTCTCTGGGAGGCTGACTTCCCACATTGCAGAGATAGAAAGTTTAGTGTTTAACATAGAGCATCTCATTTCCACTCCAAAAGAGAAAAGGGCAGAGAAAAGGGTAACAGAAAAAGAGTATTTTCCCACAAAAAATGCTGTTGGTGGTAATTCCCATGAATAGTTAGTTTGTACTGCAGGGGTGTCAAACTGCTGGCCCGCAGACCGGATGCATCATGCCAAAACCGCGCCCACCCTATTTTTGGCAATGGAAAAAAAGTCACAATATGTCGCGACATGTCATGTGATGTTGCAAGTTTGACACCCTTGTACTGGATTCTGGTCCATTCTATTTAACTTTTTGGGATATTCAAGAACCATCATCTAATAATCCCGTATTAAAGTAAATAATCATCTTAACATTTTGATAGGTCATTCACCTCAACTGGGAAATGCAAAAACAACTCTAAAATATTGTAGTCTGATGTTTCCAATAAGGTATTTGGCAAAGCCGTAAATGGTAAAATAAGATAACATAAGGCTATCTTCATACAAAATTGTTTTCACTATCTTGTTAATACAAATGGTCTTTTTTGCCGAACATTACAAAATGCCAACCTTCCCCAACCTGGCACATTTCAGATATGTTTGAACTACAAGTCCTAGAATAACCATCTAGCATGCCAAATAGCTGATTGTTGACTTTGTCTTTGGATTGCTGTACCTTTTTCTCTATTCTTTTTTTTTTTCATCTCTGTTATACAGCCTGACTTCCATTATCCACTTACGTTGCTTTCCTGCAATTTAAGCTTTTCAATTGCAAGACATCACACAAACTCATCATACACTGGTTTGTCCACCTAGGACAGGGATGTCAAACTGGAGGCCTGCGGGCCGGATGCATCGTGCATAGGCCACGCCCACCCCAGCTCCGCAAAGGCAAAAAATGTAATACGTCACAATACATCACATGACACGATTGAGTTTGACACCTGTGATCTAGCAGAATCTGCCTTTTGCCTGGTAACTTAAAGGGACTTATTCCTTTCAGAGGAGAGGTCAGTCCTGTATATGGTAGGACAAGGGTAAGGAATATTTTGTTAAGTTGAAGTGAGTGCTTTTATAATACTCTAGCAACTGAATATAAATGTTATCTGTACAAAATTTACAATAAAAATCAGTTTATTATCATCAAAGCATGTGTTACAGACTTTTCTATTCAAAATGCTGGAAAAAAATCATCTTGATGTAGTGAATACATTTCAAATTCACCAGTTTTAGTATTTCATATTTATATTTCTAGCACATTCTACCAGACTAATGCTACTTGTGATTTTGCTTTTTTGTAAGTCAGTATTGTAACTAAATTGTCATTTTTATACATCAAAAATATTTATTATATGACCAAGGGTAACAGATTATTCCACATCAGAAAACATGAAAGATGAATTTGAACATTTGATTTACTAAGATTTATGTGTGGCTACACAGAGGCTAAGATATAATATGGTTGGTTGGTTTTGGTTGAACAGATTGTATGATTCCCACCTTCTACCAGTATGTGTGATCCGAGGTACTGTAATAATAAGTCATGATTCATAATATAACGTGTAAAAATCTAGACACATTCATTTTCTATTTCCATCTTGATCTTAATATTGAATTGTTTTAATAAACATATTAAAATGAAGGGCTGTTAACATGACAAGATGCTTTTCCTTCCTCTCTGTGTAAAACTTTACTTCTGAAATGCTCATCATTCTTAAAATTATAACCTCCTTCCAGGGCCTCTTAAAAATCAGACATCCTAAATAGATGGTACCAACTCGAAATCTTTTTACTCACTGTTCAATGTCCTGAATAAAAATCAGTGATCAAATAATGGAAAATCACTGTTCTCCTTGGGGTGATTCACATAGAATTGCCCAAAGTCAATAATGATAGTCTGTCTTCTTAAAAGTTCTAAAGCAGCAGTGAAAGGATGCAACTACCTCACTCTCTTGAAGTGGGTCCTCTCCACATATCAAATTCTGCAGGACCAAGTATTTCAGTTTTGCTCCAAACCTGAGCTGGGAAAATAACAGAAGACTGGAGCAATTAGAGTATGAGATACATCCTGGCTATTGGTGCTTCAAAGCTCTTATTCATACAGGCATATTTTCCCAATAAGCCTCGATTCATATCATTGTCCTCTTGTCCTTAGAAATATTGTAAGAGAGGCTTGCATATATCTGGGGAAAAATATTGTCTTGTTCTATGAAATAGTCTGGCTATATCCAGCTTAATACAGGTTCATCCTATATTAGAAATGTGATACTAACGAGTTTCACAGATTAGCAATAGTGAAATGTGTATTCTGGTTATATCCTTTTTTTATGCAAGCAAACAAAACTTCCACAAAAATAATATTTTTCCCACAAGATACATGTTCAGGTTTTGCAATAGACATCATACTTCAGCTTTGTTCCCAGCTTGGTTCCAGCTAAACATTCCTTAAATTTAGCTTCCATTTGCTCATTTTGAGCCTTGCCAAAAATATTCTTCCAATCTCCTACAATGCCTGCAACAAAAAGAAAATGGGAGGCTCAAAGAAAACAGAATCACTTACTTGATAGTTTTAATAACAATTCAAAAGATTTGTAATTTTATAACTGGGCACAAAATGATACAATGCACTGAGGATTAGAGAAATATGAATACATTCACCAATTTTCTATGGTTCCTTTTTAGCCAAATCTATTAAATCTATTGTCTTGCTTTCAGAATTTGCTATCATGTACAAGCACCAGAGCCAGTTGTGAAAATGAAGTCAAAACAGTGAAATTGACTGAGTTTAAAACAAGTTTATCAGGACCAGTAATCCTTAGAACCTGGATACAAATATAGTAATCGCTATGCATGTCTTAACCTCAAACTCACACCATGCACTTCCAATTCAGATAAGGGAAAACAATCAACAAAAATGTGAGATCCCCTTGATCCCCACTCCTTTTTTCATTTTCTGCCAACAATATCAGATACTAATTTTCCTTTCCATGTGCCAATTTCAGAAATTTAAATATAACTTTTGACATTCTGAAACCACACACTTCAGGAGGCACCAGAAAATATAGATAGGTCTGCATCAACCTTTTACACACCTCTACTCAGTACGGCTCATAAAAAATAAGAACTAAAAAGCAACAGAAAGTAAGCAGACAGGTAAGAGAAAATAGATTGAAATATAGTTTAATGTAATTTATAATGAGACCATAGATCTTTTTAGCCTTGCTTCTATCAGAGTTGTATTCAAATTCATAACTTGTTTTTGTTTTAGAAACTTTTTTTTCTTTGAGGATCTTTTCAATTTGTTCCATCCATAAATTTTCTGACTTCCCCTTTCTCTGAATCTGTTCACTTCCCCTCACAAATGTTGGTAGTACAGGTAGTCCTCGACTTACAACAGTTCATTTAGTGAGTATTTGAAGTTACAATGGCACTGAAAAAAGTGACTTACGATTGTTTTTCACACTTACAACCTTTGCAGCGTCTCTTCTAGACACTTGGCAACCAATTCATATGTATGACTGTTGCAGTGTCCTGGAGTCATGTGATCAGCTTCTGTGATCTTTTGACAAGCAAAGTCAATGGGAAAACCAGATTCACTTAACAACTATGTTACTAACTTAACAACTGTGTCAGGAAAGGTCGTAAGCAGGGCTTTTTTTGTCGGCCTTGCACCGCCTTGGCGCAAGGCCGTGGAAAAAGGCCCGGCCGGCGTGGCCTTTATCGGGGAGGGTGTGGCCTTTATCGGGGAGGGTTTAAAATGAACGTAAGGACAAGAGATTTCCCCGCCAGGATCCCAAACTACTCCCGCACCGGTCCAAACTCAAGGCGGTGGAAAAGAGGCTCTAAAAAAGCCCTGGTCGTAAGATGGGGCAAAATTCACTTAACAAATGTTTCACTTAGCCACAGAAAGTTTGGGCTCAATTGTGGTCTTAAGTTGAGGACTACCTGTAGTTGTAAACCCTACAAAGTGTGCTTGCTGCATACAATTATGGGACATTCATAAACAGAAATGCTGTGAATGCTTTCATTTACTAATGGAAACTTGATAGAGGGGAACACTAGAAAAACACTCTTTCCCTGTTTCCTTTTTTGTAAACCAACCTTTCCGGAAGAGCAGTGGACCAGCCATCCCATGTGTTTCCTGCGACTTATCGCGCACCGCTTGGAAGGTAGTTCTGTCTGCAATAGCCTGAATTTGCTCAGTAGTAGCAGGGAAACCAAAAAAATTAGCTATTTGCTTTACTCCCGAAACCAGGTTCTGAAAGCAATATAGTGATATGATTAATATCCTATGTAAGTTGTATAAACTGTATATTTGATATTAATTATTTATATTAATGTTATGAAGAGCTGTATTTCTTAGAGTAAGCTTGAGTAGCTTCAGATTAAAAACCCATTGTCAGATATGCTGACTTGAGCATGTAGTGAAATCGCAAACAATATATCTACTCTATACGGAACCATACAGACTATAACCCAGAATAGTTACATGGTGGAAAAGGAGAAAGAGTAAAAATCAGTTCAGTGGTAATCTAATTCTCTTCTCACACAAACCCACAAATTCGTAAGGCATTTACATCATTAAGATACATTTTAGGGGAAATTGTCATAAACAAGTGGCATTTTTTTTTGTAAGAAAATTGGATATCAGCCTTCTCCTAAAGAGCTTGTTCTTCCTGCATCCCAAAATAATTTTTCAAATTTTGTAATGCAATTGCTATCAACTAGATCAGTGGTGGCGAACCTATGGCACGCATGCCAGAGGCGGCACTCAGAGCCCTCTCTGTGAGTACACGCACTATTGCCCCAGCCCCCCGTGGCCCCCTCCTCACCAGCAGCACCCCCAGAGGAGAGTCGCCCCCAGGTGCAGCCTGCGCAGAGCAGAGCAGCCAAAGACATGGCATCCGGGCAGCAAGGACAAGACTCCGCCCTCGCACCCTTGCGCCCGTCGCGCACAAATGATGCTGCAGGGTGCGGGCAGAGGGTGTGGCTGCCACGGCGCTGCAGGGCCGCTTGGGCAATCTGCGGTGGGCCGTGGAAGCAGTGGGTGGCCCTGTGGGCGGGGGGCGGGGCGTTTTTTTGGCACTTGGTCTCTAAAAGGTTCGCCATCACTGAACTAGATGAAGCCAAAATGGCACAGAAAATAAGTTTAAAATGTATTTTTAATGCCATTAGAGCATTAAAGCTCTTCAGATGCCAAATCAAAAAAGAAGGCTAAGGTCATTGTCCTATAACTCTACAGCAGGGGTGTCAAACTGCCGGCCCACGGCCGGACGCGTCATCGCAAAACCGCGTCCACCCCATTGCCGGCAATGGCAAAAAAAGTTCCGATACGTAGCATGACGTCACGTGACGTCGCAAGTTTGACATGTGTGCTCTATGGGTTTAGGATATGGGTGCATAGGATTATTCACTGGTGAGAGAAGTAACTTTTGCTGTTTGGTCTTTTTTTCCAATCACTTAACTCTTCAGGTGTTCCAGGCTGTCTCACAACTTTCAGAACAGGATGAGGAAATGATCCTTATAATATACTAAGACTCAAATTCCAGCCTTTTGATCATGCCATGTCTTATAAAAGCAGTAAGAGTTTGGGACAACCTCTTCTCATCTAATGTACATAGAGAAGTTTTGTTCATGATTATGAATACACCCACCTCTTCTAATTCCTCATATGTCAGAATCAGAACGTTTTCATCATCTATATGTTTGTTCCAAGCGACAGCCTGATCGAAATAGGATCCCCAGGCAACTATAGTATAAAGGCAGTATATTAAAATGACCTTATTTGTAAAAGAGTCTGCAGAAAGCATTAACAATAAATTATTTTTATATATATTGCATTCATACTCTCTCTGGATAACATATAGTATTGAACCAAAGTGTTTTTTATTAAACATCTATTTCCTTTTCATTTCCTTATTCTTGTATCCATGCATCAACCTTCATATCAGCTCTAAAACACCTGCAATCCCCTAAAGACAATAGGAGTTGTAAGGTAATATCTCTTCTCCTGGCAAGCAGTGTGCTAACGGTGTTTGTTCTGCTGACTGGAAACAAGTTTCTGTTTCTGCTTACATAAGTTCTCAAGATACAAAGAATACAAATGTCTTGCTGGGAACTTCCAAATAAATAAGGCCAGCTCTCGTGGAAAGCACTTGTGAGAGTTATCAGTTCAGCTTTGGCTAGAGACAAAAATTAGTTCTCAAAATGCTGACTATCTATGCTGTCTGTCCCAAAGTCACGTCCAGCAAGTAAACTGTGCAAGCTTTAATGCTATTTCAAAAATCTTGTGGGGTCTTTTTGCTTAGGGGCAATAGAAATGTGTTCATCTATATCACAGAAAATGAAGCTCTGATCATATCATTTTCATTTCTCTTAAAGCCAAACATTCTTCCAAAGGGTGTCTAACTTCCTAGAAAAGCAAGTTTGATAGCACTCCTATTAGAAATCATAGTAGTGGCACATCTCAATTTCTCCCCTGGTGCTCAGATTGATCAGATTAGCCTAGCCTTCTGTTCCCCAAGTTATTATATTTGAGCCAATCTGAGAGCTTAAGAATACCTTCTCCATTCATAAATTCTGGGAAAAATTCCTCCCATGAATTATAACTGGGAATGGTTGGAGCATTATTATGAAAATGGAAAAACGATGCTGCTGTATCTTTAGGATTTCGAAACAACACCAATATCTAAGGTAAGAAAAAAGAACAGACATTTTAAATTTCCAATGACATGAATGAAAGTACTGTATTACTGGCAAAAGTCCCTATTACATTGCAAATTGATGCTGATGATTAGCACTACCTAAACTACAGTTAAAAGGAAATTAGAGGTTGAAATTACGTCCATTAATTACATCCTTCAGAAAGCACAGTCACCCATACTCCAATCCTCTCGTATCTTTAGAAAGGCTACCAGATCTATCTTTAGAAAGGCTACCAGATCCAGATTGCCAACATCCAATCAACCACCAAATGGCAGCAGAGAATTAGTTTTCAGTTCTCTCTTTGCTGCCATTTTGTCATCCTCCAGATGTCTGCAGCCCAAATCTGCTAGCTTTACCTTCTACTACCAAAGGCATACAATGCCATGTTTCACACAGCTGTCACTATCCACTGATCTCTTGTGGTCAAGGGTACTTCTTTCCTAGTTAATTTATTTTGAATGGGGTTACTAGATATTTCATATCCTATGTTCCTGATACATATCTATAGCCTAGTACAGGGGTAGGCAACCTCGGCTCTTTTATGACTCATGGACTTCAACTCCCAGAATTCCTGAGTCAGCTATGCTGACTCAGGAATTCTGGGAGTTGAAGTCCATGAATCATAAAAGAGCCGAGGTTGCCTACTCCTGGCCTAGTAGCTAAACTATCGCAATACCTAGTGTCATAAAATATGTTAGGTTATATCAGATACTTTCCTTCCAAATGTTCTGGATTACAGTTTTCTCAATGCTTTGTCATGCTAGCTGGTTGTTAGTAACCTGCAGGCTACATAGCTGCCTAATTTCATGCATTATATCATTCCCATAAATATTACAATAGGCTCACAACATTCCTATGAATTGCTTATCTAAGGAAGTGCAGAACTAAATATTATCAGTGAAACATAATGCCTACCTTGGCTTTATTTTTGAAAATAGATTTGGGCAGATAGTTGTAATGGAGATGTGTGGCCACAATCCTTGGAGAAGGAAATTGTTTCATCCTCTTTACAAACAAAAACAAGGAAAATTTTTAAAAAAACATATCAAATGGGCCACTTGTGCATGTCCAGATTGGCTCTACTGACATATAAAAGTAATTTGTTGCCTATAAAAAAAGGCAGTTAGAATAACATTGATTCTCTAAATCCCATCTGCAGATTTTATGACACAAAACTGAACAATATTGAGATATGCCAAATGTTTCATATCACTCTATTTTCATATTCCAGACAAGCAACAAAATCACAACCCATTCCTGAGCATCTAATGACTAGAGCAGGGATCTGCAACTTGACAACTTTAAGACTTGTGGACTTCAACTGAAGTCCACAAGTCTTAAAGTTGTCAAGGTTGCAGACCCCTGGACTAGAGGACATTGCTGGAAAACTAGAGGCACATTTCAGACAAGAGAACTTTCTCTATTGCCTTATTTCATTGCAACAACTACCACGCAGCACGTCTACTTTATAGGGTAAAACCTTTCGGTTCAAAACGATGATTAATTGGACTTTGAAAAGACCTAGAGGTGTGAGGTATTTACCGTTAAGACATAAGAGAACGAATTAAAAGTTGCAACACCGTTAGTCTAGTGAGTGTTACTCTTAGTTGGTTAAACGAGGACCCCTTTCTTTTTTGTCCTTTTTTAGTATTATTAATCTAAGGACGTCATTATTCTTGTTGAACACAGCAAGGCTTCATTACCTCAACTAACTGCAAAATAATTTGCAACTAGATATGGTTAGATGGAAACTATCCATAAGTTTCAATTAGTGTACAACTAATATTAGTTGCACAGTGTTTTAAAGCTGAATCTTTACCAGATTGCTAAATTATAATCTATATAGCTGTTTCAGCTTGTAAAAGCATTCTTCTATGTTTTGATATATTCCCTCACATATATTTAAATAAATATGTTGGTTTATGCCTCAAAATCAGAAAGGGATTTCCATTTTTGTTTCAAAGCCAAGTTGTGGTGTTGGGACATTTGTTTACCATCATAGAGAGCAATAGCAGATTACAAATGAGGAAATAGATATAGCTAGTTTGGTCTAGCGCAGCAGTTCTCAACCTATGGGTCGCGACCCCATTTGGGGTCGATCGACCATTTCACGGGGGTCGCCAAGCAAGACTGTCCGCCATTTTTTTTTCCCTTTTCCGGCGGGTGCCTTACCTCCCTTGAGCTGGGCCAACTGGTGGTCGGCCTGCTCTGTCTCTGCCGCTTGCCAGCTACGCCTCGGCCAGCGCAGGGGGCGGAACCACGCATGCTCGGCGCTCCCAGGCAGGAAAAGTCCTCAACTTACAACCGGTTTAGTCCTCGACTTACAACCAGTTTAGTCCTCAACTTATGACCGGTTGGGGGTCGCGGCATTAAAAAGGTTGAGAACAACTGGTCTAGCGGTTAAGGCACCAGGACAGAAACCAGAAGACTGAGTTCTAGTCCCATTTTAGGCATGAAACTCAGCTGGATGACTTTGGGCCAAACATTCTCTCTCAGTCCAATTCATTTCGAGGGTTGTGATTGTGGGCAAAATAGAAGGAGGAAGGAGTATGGGATATATTCACCACATTGAGTTATTTATTTATAAAAATAAAAAAGTTAGGATTTAAAAAAACTTCAAATAATAATAGCTGGAGGACACAAGGGAAGGGGAAGGGGAAAGACAATGATTGCAACTAAGTTTTAAGCCTAATTGTAAAGTCATGATTTAGCCGAAATCTTTGAATCAGGCATTACCGAGGTTTAGTCATAGTCGTTCCCATATTCTGTTGAATAAATCACAAGGGATGGAGTCACACAATACACTAAGCCGTGTTTTTTTTTTAATGACTTAGCGTGATGCTTGAACCATAAACAAATGTATCTTAAAATAATATAAAGCATGTTAAATAACTAAAGTATACATTTGCAGTGAAATTATCAGGGCAAAAACTACCTATCAGTTAATGGCACCTGGCAATTTTTCGTTATTATACAAAATACTTTTTAAGCTTTAAAAACCTCTTCACATAAGCTTATGAAATGCTGATTGAAATATTTCAATCATTCAGTTAACATTTTATTTACCATTCTGTTCTCTCCTTTGTGTATAGTTTATATAGTTTACATAATGCAGCATCTGATACCAACTAATAATTGTAAAACTAATTCCGGTACAAAAAGTTTCATTAGAAAAAGGAGGATTAGTGGCGCTATTTCGGTATAAACCATCTCAATGGTAATGATAAATATTATGTAACACATTCACAATATTAAAAAGGAGGGTTTTTTTTATAGTTGCTTATGATCTCATTTGGCAACAAAAAATAACACAAGAGTTCTATTCACCACATTTGGGGTAGGACACCAACACCGCATCATCTTTTCTGCTTTCAAAATTCTCCAGGGCTTGGAACGTCTCTGCACTGCACACTGTATTCGGGTAGGGAATTCCCTGGTAGGAAAAGAGAAGTTCATGGAGTTTAAAGCCTTTGGATTTTTCCAGCGCTTTCTCTATTTCTTCTACAAATTTTTTCTCTGTCATGGTTGCTTTCTCTGTTCTAAGCTAACTACCCTGTTGTTAAGGCACCAAAAGCTTTTAAAGGTATTTGAGAGGTGGACGAAACAGCATTACTGTATACTTAGCCTTTTGTTTTCTACCTTATATAAGAAAGCCAGGCATCTTGGGTTACTGTCTTTTGCTCCTCCCTTTCTATTCTCCAGAAGAGAAAAACTATCAGGTCCCCCTGCTTAAATATTGTTTTGCAGATAATCCCTACTTAAACCAAGAAACTTTGACAACAAAGTAGGAGAGAGAGAGAGAGAGAGAGAGAGAGATCTAAATGGCTTAATAAGCATCTCCAATTAACATCAAATTTATTTCAATGTATAGGACCACCCGTTTTATTGTAGGTCTAGGCTGCTACTCAGTTACAGACACAATATAACCAGAAATAGATTCATCCTTGGCTGCCAAGTGTGTAACAGAATTTAATTTCTTATACTATGATCGGGAACTTTGCAAAGTAAAGCATAGCTCCCAAATTATAGATACAAAGCACCTTTCTATGTAGCCATCCTAATTTTTACAGTGTTGGGCAAAGTGCAATAAGAATATCTTCAGTTGCCACCACATAACTCTATATAGCAGTGTTTCTCAACCTTGACAATTTTAAGGCATGTGGACTTCAACTCCCAGAATTCCACAGCCAGCATGCTATATAGTGAGCCATTATTATGTTTTACAAGTGCTGTAGCATGCAGAGGTACACCTGCAACAAGTAGTTCGAGCCCCATGAATAAGAGACGAAGTAGCACTAGCAAATTCCCTGAGCGTCTTTTAACATTGCTCCTGCGCGACTAATTTTTGTTTGCACCGACCATCATTCATTACTGTATTGCGAGGCTAATTCCGAAACACGCTGACAGAGGGCGCACTTCGCTCCGCCGGCTTTTTGCTTCAAAAGAATAACCCGGTCGCCGCCCGTAGGCGACGTAAAACTGCCACGGGACGAAAAAGAAGGCGTTATTTGCGGGGTTAAAGTAAATTGCGTAACCTCGAAGAGGTCACCTTTGCACATGTGCAAAATGGAAAGTAGTAGCTAAACTCCTCCAGCCGCGAAAAACACTTTACGCCTGCGCGCACAGGCTTGGCTCCTCCCTCGGAAGTAAGGAAAGAGGCATCAGAAGGCATGGAAAGATGATCGGAAGAGGACTTTTGGATTGTGAGTGTCTGGGCACTATCAATGGTAATTGCTGCTTGCATGTTTCGTCCCAAGTGAATAGTAGAGCAATGCCCGCTGCGTGGTTTTTGCGCGCGGAAACTTAGCAGCTCTGCATTGACGGTACTCATAGAAAGTCCTAGTTTGACCTGAAACTGGGAGGACTTTTCTGCCTCTGAGTCGGGAGGAAGGGTTGATTTGGGGGAGCAAATGGCAGTTCTCCGGGATCAGTGTTTCTCAACCTTGACAATTTTAAGGCATGTGGACTTCAACTCCCAGAATTCCACAGCCAGCAATGCTGGCTGTGGAATTCTGGGAGTTGAAGTCCACATGCCTTAAAATTGTCAAGGTTGAGAAACACTGTTTTGGATGGACTAACCCAGTGTTTTTCATTCAAACTTGGCAACTTTTAAGATGGGTGCATTTCAGATCCCAGAATTCTCTAGCCAGCATGCTGATCAGTTCAATACCCGTTACCAAAATAGTCATACATGATTTCATCCCACTGTCAGTATAATAAAATGGAAGTAATCGTCAGCAAAGGCCTTGGCAAGTCTTTTAGAGGAAATTTCAGTGAAGAATGTTAGCATTTATATTTATACTTTTAATGTTTCTAGATTTATATCCTACCCTCCGGTACGAGTGTGCACTTAGTGCACTGAAATTACATATCAAAGCTCAGGAAATCCAACAAGATCAGACTGCTCTTCCCAAGAATGGTGTTTTTTTTTTTTAGCAGTCTAACTCCCCCTTTTAAAGCAGCAAGATGTTTTTATAGAATAGTTGTCCCAAAAATCTGAAGGGTATTAATTAACCTTAGTACACTGCAAGGGAACTAGGGGATCAGCCATATTGGACTTAATTCTCATTAACAGAGATGAAATGATAGGTGTTGAAGCCATAGGAGCCTTGGTGGGGAATTTCAATAAACTTAAGAGCTTTTTTCACTGCTCACTTGAAAATATTTGCTTCCACCAACCACATGTTGATTCTTATTTTGCCTTTTGTCCTTTAAACCAGGGGTTCCTAATTCCTGGGCTGTGGCGCACAATGGGGCTGCCTATTCTGAATCAGGCCGCATGAGAGGTAGGCTGGCATGCACACACGTGCGCAGGCCAGCGTGCACACATGTGCACAGGCCAGCGTGCATGTGCGTGCAGCTCAACTTGCAGTTGAGCTGCGCATGCACACAAGCCCACTGCTCACGCAAGTTGACCGCACACACATGCGCACCGGTTCCCTCCCTCCCCCCAGCTGGGCCGCTAAACTGCAAAGGTTGGGGACCGCTGCTTTAAATTACTCACCTTTCTCTTCATCCTTTATACATATTTTGTGATTTTATCAGTCAAATATATTACCAAATAAATGTATTACTATTACTTTTATCACTCATTTTAGTATTCATTCTTTCATCCATTGCCTCTTAATGCACTCATTGACCCTATTTCTATTGCATCCAACTCTCATTTCCATTCAGAGCCTCAGTTCTAGTAGTCACGTCCATGAAAATTATACATTTACATCATCTTGAACATTTCTTAGATGTTTACACATAATGTATTAACAAAGAGATATCACACATTCTTAAGTGATTGAACTATGTTCTGAACATCCCATTCTTGTGCATGTTGAGTGAATGTTGGAATGTTGGAAATAAACTACAATTGAAAATCATTGGAACATCCAATGATTAACATGATTTAACATCTTTGTTAAATCACTCAGCAGTGATTTACAAAGATCTGTGAGATCTGTGGAAAACATGTATCTTTAGTTCTATTTCTTTCAGCTTCCTTGTATAAAGTTGTTTTGTTTCTTGTTCTTTAAAGTAACTACTGAAATGTTGTCACAACTGACCTCTATTTGCTTCTATCACTAGGATTTGGGATTGGCTAAACAATGAAGCCCCGATCTTCTATCAGGTTCTTCAAAAAAATTCTAGTTTTGGAAATTATTGGAGTTCTGGGGGCATACGCTTTGTATCACAAAATGAACTCAAGTGAAGGTAAGAATCTGATACAGCTTAACGTCAAGTAACATCTCTTGATGTGGGCAGTCATATCTGAAATGGGAAAAATATTTTGGATCTGGTGTTGGTACACTTACTGTATTGTCAGTCACACCATAAGGAAGCCATACGGTATTTTTTTTCTGGGTGTCCCTGGTATTATTGAGCAAGGTGCAGCTTCTTGAAGGTTGTGGCGATAGATCAGTTAAGTATGCTTGTGCTAGATCGACAATTGGAAAACACCTTTTCTACACATCCTTATTTATCAAATAATCTGACTAGGTCATAAATATTGTAATCTTGATAGAGCAGCAACTGATCCACATTTTCTGCATCTTCACTATCATTAGATTTGCTTATATGCCGTCAAGGCATTTTTCAACTCCTAGCAACTGTATAGATATGCCCATGGTGATCTGTCTATAACCTTTCACGTCTCTCAATGGCACTCGTTCCTACTGTAACTTGAGTCTGCTAGTTGTCCACTTCTTTTTACTTTCACCTTTCCCAGCGTACTATTATCTTTGAGGTGTGAAGACCAAAGCTATACCCACATTTCAGATATGATCAAAATACAGATTTGTATTAAGAGACTACTTATGATTACATTAATTTCCTCGGTTCCTTTTTCTTTTACTTTTATTCATAAGGAGATGCCTTTGTCAAACTATTTATCGCTATTTCCAAAATCCTCTAAAGCAGAGTTCCCCAACCTTTCCAGCTTTGCAGACTGGAATAAGGGGGGGGAGGACGGAAGAGGGGATGGTTCTGTGCAGGTGATTGGCAAGTGCACCAACCACTTATGCAAATGGAACGTATGTGCTCACCTCCTGCTTGCGCAAGTGGGGATCCGCGCGCACACTCACCTGCTTCCACAGCCCGGTTCCAAATAGCTCACAGCCCAGTAGTGAGCCGTGGTCCGGGGTTGGAGACCCCTGCTCTAAAGGATAGTCAGCATTAGTTTAAATCCTTCTAGCATATTTATGATTAATATTTTTTTCTAAATGTTCATAACTCTACACTTGCTTAGACTAAATTGTATCTTAATGCTCATTGTTCCAGGAGATTTTAAAGCTCTTAATTATCCCATTTTCTTTTAATCAGATAAATTGGCATCAACAAACTTATTCATTGCTAGTCTTTAAGCTCCTTTATGAATGCATTAAATATTGCTAATCCCAGTGCAGGTCTTTGAGAATCTCACTGTATCATTGAGACCTTTATTCTTATTCCTTCCTTTTTTTTTAAAATTAATGAAACATGAGGTTTTTTTAATCTTAGTACACAATAGCTGAGTTTCCCAAGAATTCTTTGGATATTAACTTTGTTAAAAGTTTTTGAAAAGATAAGGAGACATTTTGCTGTCTCTTTTACAAATTAGTTTCATATTCAGTGAATTCCGAAAGATTAGCACAATGTAAAAAAAGTATACACCGTGCAACTACTGTATTAACGTCTGCTGTAGTACTTTGTAACTAATAGAAATTCCTTTTACCCCAGATTTCAGACATAAAATGAAACGAAGGTGGCCATCTATTCTGGAAGGTATGTTTGGTTAATAATTATGCTAGTGTAATTCTTTCCTTTGATGAAACAAGCCATTTTTTAAATATAGTTGTTTGGTACAGATAACATTCTACAGGACTTCCCTCTGAAAATTAGAATAAAAATATACTCAAAATTCCATCTTAATTCAGCCAGGTTTTAAGGCATTTTCTTATTTTCACAGTTTATTACAAGAGTAATGAGTGGGCTGGTATTTATGGGATCAGAGAGGGAGATGAAGAGAAATGGCTTACAAAAAAACCCTAAAAGTAAGTAGAAACAATTTGGTAGTAGTTTGGTAGTAATATCAAAAAGAATTTACATTTATTTTTTTCGCTTGTATTTTTGTTTGTTTTTCAGTGGTTTGTGCCTGAACGTCTTTTTCTGCCTGATGATACTTTTCACATCTTTATTGTGAATCCACTTGTCGCGTTCTGCCTCCCACTTGAGCTGTTTGAAATCTAACAGAGGAAGACAGTGAATAAATTAGATGAGTCAATCGAATAAATACTCTTTAAACTTGAAAGCAAAGTTTTCTATTGGGATGCAAAGAATTTCTTAGGCAAGCATTCAAAAGATCAAAGCATGAATACTCTTGTTGTATTTTTTCATTAAAAAAAGCATGTAAGAAAAAAGGCTCTATTTTTTGTTTTGTTTTTCAGCAGGCTCTTCAATCTTATTACTGTACATTTCAGATATGTGTCTTTTCATAATATATCTAAAGCAGAGGTCTCCAACCTTTCCAGGCCCGCGGCCCAGAGGGAAGCAGCTTCCAAATTGGTGCACACGCGCACACAAACGGGGCCACGCGCAGCAGCATGGCACTAGCGGCCCTGTTTACACATGCGCAAATGGGCCACACACACAAAGTGCTAGTGGCCCCGTTCGCACCCATGTGCATGCACAAACGGGGCCGCGGGCGCTAATGCCAGTGGGGGGAGTGCCAGTCATTTCTGCAGCCCACTGGCCAAGAAGCCGTGGCCCAGTAGTGGGCCGCGGCCTATAGGTTGGGGACCCCTGATCTAAAGTAATTTAAAAAACAGTATATTTAAAAAACAGTAATAGAGGTCTCACCAATTTTGCTTTGGGACAATTGCTTTTTCATGTGTGAATAATTTTATGAAGTAAACATTTAACATTCCATCTCTATATAGAAACACTACAGATTGAATATAGATTTGACCTTCGTTTGGAAGCTAAAGAAATCTAGCCAAGGCTCCCAGTGGAATAAGCAGCAGGATACCAATCCTTATATATTTCTCATGTATGTTTCATCTAACCAGCACTTATAAAGAAGTATTTTATATGCTAAGTAAAATATGAAGCATAATAGAGAACCCAGGCATAAAAGGACTGAAAGTAGCAAGTTCATTAAAATTCCATTTAACATGATAAATATATCCTTAATCCTAATACTGCAGGGATTAGTCCTAGCAGTTGTCAGGAGTCAACAATAATATCAAACCAACTCAAAAATAATGGCTCTGCTCAGTAAGAATGTTACGTATGTATACCCTGTTGAGGTGGGATGTCAAAATATATTTCCTGTTCATATAAATGTTACTTACTTGCATTATCTTTGTTGGCCATTGCATTCATTCCAATATTGTCAAACTTGGACCCAATATTTTCATCCAACAAGTGGCCAAACTTTAAAAGAAATGCAATATAATTAGATTCTCTGAATGCCTTCAAATCAAGTACAATTTCATAGATACTAAAATCAATACACCTACTTCTTCTGCAGCAGCAACACCCCTATCTTTGAGTTTTCTTTTCCTTGTATTTGACCCTTGAAGAAAAAGAGCATTCAGCAACTGCTTCTACAGTTTTACATAAAGCAAGCATTCATTGTTGTTGATATAACAAAGTAGTGGCCAAAGAATCAATTGAGGCTGGAGGGAACTAGAAAAATCCACCAATCTGAGTTGGATAAAACTATTGTACAATGAACAATTCCAGTCTCTTAACTCGGCAGCAAACATCCTCATTTATAGATCCTACTTTCCACTGGTTTGGAAGGAATAAATTTGACAATATACTATAAATGTCCATGTTTCTCCCTCACTGAAATTCTTACTTTTTAGAAAGTTGATGTTATATCAGCCACTCCCCTGATATAAAAACCGGATTGACTGGTAATCTGTTTAATAATGTAATCAGAAAAGTCTCAAACAAAATGAATGTGTGGTTCAATGAAATTATATTGCAATGTAAAATCTCTTTGGAGTTACTTGCATTTAAAGACTTCATAAATAAAACTAAATCCCTTATTACCTTCCAATTCTCGCTAATATAAATCCCTGATGCAGTCTAAAACTGCTTGTGATTGTGCACTGGAAAAAAAATAATTCTGGTAACTTATGCTAATCCCTTGGTATTTTGACAGAAACATGAATTTCTCATGCTTCTTATTTGTCAAGTCTTAAAAGTATTACCTTTACCTATATTACCTTTAACTGATCCAGCAAAATCCATTTCTTTTTTTCTTTGGCTATTCTTACTGCCAGGTGTGACTTCAGTGTCTTTACTTTCACCTGTTACCAAAAAGAAGAGCCAGTAAAACTTGTATTACATAATAAAATTGAAAATTACCGCATAAAATTTGGTGACCTTCACATGGAAACAACTTGCATATTACAAATACTGCAACAACTCAAGATTTCATAGATATCCTCTGAGTAACTGCAGGCATTTCTACAACATCATTTTTAAAACTGGAACAATTTATCTGTATGGTTTACTGTTTTAGCAAGAGTGAAAAGTTTTAAGACTTTGGGAACTGTTGTTTACCTGGAGTGTTATCGTCATCTGACACATCCATGAAAGTCCCTCCCTCTTCATCAATATCTTCCCCAACGTCTTCGTCCATACTACTCAGAGAGACTTCCTCATCATCAAGGTTATCAAAATTGTCTTCCTCAGAATCTTCTGATTCTGTTTCGTCATTTGAATTTCTCTTCTTTTTCTTTTTGACTTTTATATTACTAAAAAATTAGGAAAGAAACTTTAAATACCCATCTCCTGTATACTTTTTCTCACAATTCTTACCTTAAATAGGCCTTTGTAGATTTAATACTTGGTGGAGAAAGGACTATCTTATGATTGTGGTGCTTTATTTTGAGACAGCCCAGATTATGTTCTCTGTATATCTTTCAGTGTTTTTGACTAGAACAGTATATAACTGTTGTTAATACATATGTAACTTGTGAATGCTAATCAAATTAGAATTTATCACCTGCACTTAAGCTGATGGCTCAATTAAGGAATTTACTGGTAATGCTTCTTTTACACTGTAAGGAAATCTGAAGAACCTCAGTCATCAATGTCACACTACTTTATAGTAGACAAATTAGTCAACCTTTATGCAAAAGGAAAACAGATAAAAATCTGCATCAGAAATAGCATTATCTGAAACTAAGAGTGATATTTCAATACCCCAGAATTATTTACTTATATCCTGCCTTTATTATTTTTAAAATAACTCAAGGCAGCAAACATACCTAATTCTACCTCCTATTTTCCCCACAACAACCTTGTTGGGCTGAGAGAGAATGACTGGCCCAGTTAGCTGCTAGAACTCTGATCCAAAGCTGGAGTACTTGATAAAAAGAACTTTTCACTGTGAGTTAGCTATAAATGTGCACAAAATTAAATATACAGGATGCACCATAAATGTGGTTTTGATTATGAATTTAGATGCAGATACTTTCACAAAACTGCTTAATGGTTAAATTTGATCTTCTAAATCTCTTTATATAATCCAAGAATGCTGATCAGCTTTCCATCCCAAATCCCTATTTTCCTTTAACGCTAACATTTCATAGCATTTGAAACTTGAACTAATGGGAACAAAAATACATAATGAAGTATCAATGGCTCTCCCAATTTTTGTCTTCTTGGCCAATAAAAAAGTGCTCCAAACTATTCAATAAAGGAAGCACTAAACTCCAAATATATTGGAGGGGGAAGGGAGATACAAATAAAAATGATCCATTGCTTATTCTACTGTGTTTCCATTTCACTGTTTTCATTTAATAGGGCTTGAAATAGGAAGCATATACAAAAACCAGTTGACACAAAGTTTTACTTTGTAATGAATGCCAAGGTAAATGCTCTGTGTCAACTGTTTCTTATATAATCCTTATTTCAAGTCTAAGCACTTTATATCTACATCAAATTATGGTGAAAAGAACTCAAAAAGGGATTAATTTATTTCCATACACACATTATCAAAATTATTTTCATACATAGAACAGAAGTACTTTTTAAAGTGTAGATCTGAGAGATTTACACTGCAAGATAGTACTTTTCTCCTCAACCTCAAGGACAAATACACCAAGGACATAAAACATACACTTCAGAACTCTAAAATATTAGTTTGTTTTTTTTTAAAGTATCCTTTCTAAACAAAACAATTCAAACACTGCAAAGGTTAAAAAAGGTTTTCAATATTACATCAGGTAGATCACTTGGGTAAGTTCAGATCTTTCTAAAGTAATGATAATTCTCAGATAATACCTCATTTTTGCTCAAATCAAAACCCTAGAAAATAAATAAAAAATAAAACAAGCATGCTCTAGGGCAGGGGTAGGCAACCTTGGTTCTTTTATGACTCGTGAACTTCAACTCCCAGAATTTCTGAGCCAGCCATGCTGGCTATCATGCTGGCTCAGGAATTCTGGGAGTTGAAGCCCACAAGTCATAAAAGAGCCAAGGTTGCCTACCTCTGCTCTAGGGTTATGTTTTGCACAAAATTACATTAATTTCATAGTAATTTGGATGATTGGTAATATTTCAAGTGTGAAGTTCTATTCTAAATCCCATTCAGTGACATAACATTAAGGGGTGAGGTTTTTTTCAGAAGAGTCCTGAGCTATCATGTACTACCTACTGTAAAATCAGTTCTTAGTGCTAGTTTAAACCAGTTATTTATGTTCTCTAGAGCAGTGATGGCAAACCTTTTAGAGACCGAGTGCCCAAACTGCAACCCAAAACCCACTTATGTATCATCGGGTGCCGGTTGGGTGTGGTCCATTGGCTGGGTGAGGCCCATTGGCTGGGTATGGCCAATCGGGTGGGTGTGTCCCATTGGGTGGGCGTGGCTGCGGTGATAACGGCAGACTGGGTGGGACTAAAAAGTTCAATCAATCAATCAATTCCAATTTTGCAAGATCTTTTTTTTTCCCGCGAGAAGTTGAAATTGACTGATTGATTGAACCTTTTTTTTTTTTGCACACAGCGGCGGAGGCCTAAAGTGAAAAGGTTTTATAAAACCCAGCTGAAGGCC